ATATTTACTTCCTACAGTGTGTATGAACGCGAGCAGATGCGACTTGTGCCGATGGCTTGGAATGTATTCACCTAGTAAGTGCTGTTCTTGGGCTCGTTGTCAGTCAGCTAATCTCTCCATAGCACCTTCATTTCTCGATGCTTATCTCTGCTTTGCTAGCCGCCTCCCCCCCCTCTACTCTTGGTCGCGCCAGGCTCGCGTCCGTCCTTAATGGCTGTGATCAGCATCTGGGGCCACCCTAAACCCTCACTTGTCTCAATCTTCTACCCTCAGTGCTTCTATTTTGATGTTCCAGCATGCAGCGTGGTCTGCGCCCGTTCTCCAATTGACCTATCTCTCTCATTCCTGTGTTCGGCCGCCGCCCATCTTTTTGTCTCGTCATTTTTAACTCTACGTCGTGCAACGCGCTGCCTCGAAGCGCCCCAGCTCTGCATCTCTGTTGGCGAGTCAGGCTACCAGCACTCGTTGCAAAGAGCTCGACTTCCATACTTAGGTCCCCATCGTAGCACAGGGAGCCTCAGATGCCTCCCACCACTCAAATATTTCATCAGCTGCACTGGCCAAGCCCATCTTTCGTATGTTGGTCTGGTCACCGCGTGCGCTGCTGTATTTAAGAGTGAGTGTAGTCATTATCATTTGATTTGACCTGTTACTCACAGCTTGTTGCAGCCACAGACTCCCCCAATGCATTGTCGCACACACATACCCAAACTCTAGCCTTGCTCGCCATCCAATTACACACTCTCAGCTGTCCTTTTCGACTCACTATCTTGGGTCACACATCTCTCGGGCGCGACACTCTTCCTCCAGCGCAGTAATGTACACCTTCTGAGCGCGAAGTGCCTTGTTTGGCTGCCCAAGGCAGACAAGAATGCCAGTTCGGAACGGCGGCAGCCCTAGGAGCGCACTGTCACCGTACTGTCCTACACCTCAGAGTCTGGGCAGGCTTGGCAGGCTGCTGACGCTGCCCGCAGAGCAAGAGCAACACAGACACGCCAACGCGCGCGACATTGGGGTGTAGCAGTTCTATGGCAGCTTTGCAGGCTTCAGACCCCAGCTCTCCGACCTCTTGCAGCCGAGGAAGCACATATCAAGCGTCAATGTTGCCAAAAAGCGAGAGGAAGTGAGTGTGCAAGAGTGGCGTCAAACTGGTCAATGTCGAGATCGCGCCTGGCTCGCTTTGGATGTCGAACGAGCCGAGCCAACACCTGCGTTTCGAGGCTCTCAGCCCCTGCTGGGTTCTCCACGCCCTTGCCCGCAGCCAGGAGGGACACGACGACTGGGCGACCACGATTCGCAATGCCAAGACGTTGCTGCTAAGATCACTTAATGTCATGCGCCCGAAGCCAACGCTGGCCCCACATTTCTCGATGAGCCACTTCCAACATGCGCGTCAAGATCTGCTGTACGCGTAGCACGGGCAGACACTTGGTTGGCATTCAGCGGCGGTACCGTCGCAACCGTCGAGGGCGGTGTACCTGCCACCGTCACCCTACCTGAGTAAGCCACACCTCTGCTATTGGCTATTAACACTGACAAGTACCTCCTCTAAACATTCTTCGGGTACTAGATGGCACGAACTTGGTGTAGGACTACGAGTTTGCTGTGCCGCTCGAACCCCCAGCTGCGACGGTGACGTTCTCGCATCTCATCTCCATCGCCCTTTAGTTCATAGCCTTCAAACATCTCAACAAGAGCATTCAGGCGCCTCCGTCATTTCTGATCGCTAGCGACAAGATGAGATGACAGCGGTCCAGAGCTACTGCCTATGTGCCCCCAACGCCATCCATGCCCAGTCGCAAACTATCTGATGGTCCAAGCGTGCTGAGCATGACCGAGGGCCTTGTGATATCGAGCAGCCTGCTGCCAACGTCGATTCTTGCTGCGGTTGTTGCTGCATGGCGGTGAAAACGGCTCCTGCTCCTAGTGATGTGCGGGCCGGGCCTCAAAGCCCGCAAGCCCGCCAAGCCTGGCCCAAAAAGCCTGACCCAAGCTAAGCCTGGCAGCGGGCCCAAGGCCAGGCTTGGAGCATAGTCAAGCCCAAACCTGGCCTAAAAGCCCAGGCTTGGGTGCACCAAATGTGTTGCTGTTCCCTGGGCTCAAAACATGGTAAGAACGACTTTATATACACATACAAGACGGGACGTTGACTTACCGAACTGGGCGGTCCCTGCTAGTGTGATTAGGCACAGTTGTGTGCCACCGCCTGGCATTCGCCGTAGGTGCCCCTTCGCGAACCTTGTCATAACATGGCTTGTAGCGCGGTCGCATGCCCTCTGGAGGCTGCAGTACAGTGGGTACATGCAATAGCAGCCTATCACATACAAATATGCTCACGTTTGTAGCATATAAATACTTGTCCTAAGCTTTGCAAGCCTGGGCTTAAGCCCATGGCTTGGGCCAGGCTCAGGCTTGGCTCAGGCTCAGGGCTCGGCTTGGCATTGCCACAAGCCCAAGCCGGGCCTGCACATCACTACCTGCTCCTCGCGACCACAGCCTACGTGATATCAGTGAGGACCGAGACGGACGTCGTTCTGTCGGCCAGAGTGGATGCAGCAATTAATCTTACTGTATGAAAGTGCGACAGGGTAGGCCAACATACCAATCGTGCTTGCCATGCCCAAACGTTATGTAGTCTGCAGACATGGTGATCAGCTGCGGCTGCACGGACTTGTCGCTCTTGTAGGACCGTAACGAGTTGAATAGGGTTGCGTTCGGATAATTCACCTCGTCAAAGTGTGTCGCAAACATTGGTGTGACAGCCATCATACCCTTAGGAAGGAATGTTCCATCTAAGAGCGTCACCGGCTGCAGGATGTTGCGGAACATCGACACTACGAGCTGTCAGCAGTGAGATAAGCAATTGGGAGAACAGCACGCACCAATGGTCGGGCCATTATGCCGCTCGCACTCGCGCAGGACTAGTGATGTGTGGGCCCGGCTTGGGCTTGTGGCGACACCAAGCCAAGCCCTGAGCCTGAGCCAAGCCTGAGCCCGGCCCAAGCCATGGGCTTAAGCCCAGGCTTGCAAAGCTTAGGACAAGTATTTATATGCTACAAACGTGGGCACATTTGTATGTGATAGGCTGCTATTGCATGTACCCACTGTACTGCAGCCTCCAGAGGGCATGCGACCGCGCTACAAGCCATGTTATGACAAGGTTCGCGAAGGGGCGCCTACGGCGAACGCTAGGCGGTGGCACACAACTGTGCCTAATCACACTAGCAGGGACCGCCCAGTTCGGTAAGTCAACGTCCCGTCTTGTATGTGTATATAAAGTCGTTCTTACCATGTTTTGAGCCCAGGGAACAGCAACACATTTGGTGCACCCAAGCCTGGGCTTTCGGGCCAGGTTTGGGCTTGACTATGCTCCGAGCCTGGCCTTGAGCCTGCTGCCAGGCTTAGCTTGGGTCAGGCTTTTTGGGCCGGGCTTGGCGGGCTTGCAGGCTTTGAGGCCCAGCCCGCACATCACTACGCAGGACTCAGCTGTCGAGCTTACGCATCTTGTTTGTGGCAGCCTTCGTCCAGCCTTCTTCTGCCACAGCTGCCTCTACCTCTTCCTGTAGCGTGTTGGCGAGCTCTGGACGCATAGAGATGTCGTACAAGGCTTGGAGTATAGTCTAGAATATACCTTGTTACTACTTGTGGCTCTACAACACTGAAGGCTTACAGCCAAGGTCGTCCCAATTGCCTCGAAGTTAATGACCAGTACTATGCGCGCGACCTCTTCTGGTCCTTGATTCTGAGTCACAACTTCGTTGATAAGCCATTGCAACAAATCATTCTGTGCTTAGGTCAGAAATACACTAGGAAGGCGCCGCCAAAGTAACATACTGGCTTTGTCTGCCCAGTCCTTTCCAAACTCAGTCATCGTGGCCATCTGATCGTCAATAACCGCCCGCAAGTAGTCAAGACACTGCTGGATGCGTTTGTCAATGACTGTGGCCTTCCTTCCAGTGGCGCGCTTCATAAAGCCAGGTAATATTGTGAGGAGCTTTACAGCTTTACTCACGTCTTCTTTGAAGTGTACCATCATGTATATATAACCACTGTCCCAACCTGAGCGCAATGCCTACTGTGAGCTCATTCTCTGCAAAACTCCGCATTTAAACTTACAAATTGGCATGCCAACAAAAATGCGGTTCGCAGCACGCGTAATGATTGTGCTCATGGCGGGATAAGCATGGACTGAGAGCCAACCTAGCAGAAATATCAGCCAACCTTGGCACTCCCATATCTCAGGTTACCCCAACTCACAGTCGCTGTTCGTGGGAATGTGCTCTCGGAAGGTATGCTAAGCTTATCAAACATGTCCTCGAATACCAATGCAAGACTATGCGTGATATTTCGCAGTATCAGCATATGGACAGGATTTCTGTGCCAGTTAGAGGCAAACATGTTAGGCATCTCGAGCACCTGGTGTTGAGCAAAAGAATGCAAGAGTTCCAGTTTGGCAGCCTAGTCCGCAACATCCTTCTAGTCTTTCACCTTGTTGCCCCTAGCTACTTTTGAATTTGCTATAAGAAACCAAGCTTTCGCTGCCTACGCGCGCTGCCTACCAGCAAACGTTTTGCCGGACCGGGACTTGTGGAGTTGTGCTCGACACCTTGCCCTGTTTTTGCAGCGATGTCACAGTAAGTCTCTTTCCACGTGTGTCCACATCCATTGTCACCACTGACATTCTTGTGCAGTCTGTGCTGCACCTCGCACACAACTCGTCGCTGATGTTCGTGTTCGCGTCGGTCGTGACGCACAGCAGCTTCCTGTCCCGCACCACACTGACGTACTCAACAACCAACATCACGACATTGTTCTCGACTTATTGCTGCAGCACAACATGAACCACACAAAGCAGGAACTCGTGCCCAACAAGGCGGCAAGATACGCCTCTCTGTGGAACGATGTTGTTCACAGGGAATTGTCTCATATTTGTCTCGCCATCTGTAGTGCGTTGTGAGTCTTATCAGCAAGAATCACCAGTGTACGTCCTCTCGCGTTCTGTTTAGCTTGTGCCGCAGCTCACAGAAGGAGTGCAGAAAATTGTGAATACGCTATAGAAGGTAAAATAGTCAGGCGCAGAGTGGATGGGCCCACTGCTGTTGGACGTGGCAAAGAAGGCACAGTGAAAACATGGTCGCTTCAATGTTCTCGACTCGTCAAGTGCATGCTCTTGCTTTCATTATTTTGCGTTCTGCCTCCACCCGAGCAATAATCGTAGGTCCATGCCTGTACACACAATAAGCACAGGTTCCGCTCTCAAGTGCCAACGGTCAACGCTCTGACATGCATTTTGTGGCCGTCCTTAAACGCGACAGGAATATGCTGACATAACTCTCAATATCTAGCTGCAGACGCTTCGTGGTGATGGTTGTCGGAGACTGCATCGGCGGATTCTTGGCCTTGTTGCGCGATGGACTGGCCGGGACTATGAACTCCTTCGACATGCGTCTGCCTATCCCTTGTGCTTGTGTTACGCTCACGCAGAGTGTAGCCCATCAAATTGTCGAGCGGCCACTCAGAGGCTGTCGGGTGCGGCGAGGGCAGCCGCATCTGTTGAGTTCAGTTCGCTGTACCGCGTATGTTGTCTAATTGTCTGATTTGGTGTCGCTGCGCGGATTATTAACGAGGTGTCCAGTGGCATGCGGCGGCAGCAAAAAAAAAAAAAAAAAAAAAAAAAAAGGCCATCAAACGGGTCAAAACCGCCTCCACTCAAGTTTGTTTTTTGGCGAGAATCCTAGGAAGCTGCAGCAACTTCGGAGTCACCATCAGACGGTTGTAGTGCACTTTCATCAACTCTGGCCATACCTGTGCATGCGGTAATCTGGCAGGTAC